ATTTAATTAATATTAAACATCATTATAGTTATAATAGACTAAGGACTAAAGAAATTCTCTTCGTGTATCTACAAGGTTTCTTAACTATGGAGATGAGGCTCTCCAATTAACATTTGGTTATTATTTTTAATTTTATTTGGCGAATTAATATTCTGTCAATATATCTTAAATATTGTTGCGTATTATAAATTAGGAATAAGTTCAAGCATTACTTATTGAAAATCACACATCATAATCCTGACTGAAGTATAGCGAAATCTGCCTTTTAATACTTAGTACGCAAGGTGGATAAAACTAGCTCATTATTTATTCAAAAGAAAAGGACGTTTCGTGCTAGGACCTAAACTAATATTATATTTTGAAGCAATTTTATTAGTCTTTGATAAGCTTTCAAGTAGATACTAATAAATATCTTAAAAAAAAGATCAAAAAGCATAATCCCTAAATTTAAATGTAATCAACCAGTTAAATTATATTGCTAATTCAAATCAGTAGATTATGTTGCAAAGCATCCATAGCTAATGGAATATTCCATTTTATATTATATATTAATTATATCATGACTTTTAAGCCTTTGAAATGAAATAAGCAAAATACCCTAATTGCTCATTGCAATTTTTAAGATGGATTAATCTAAAGAATTCTAACTCTGGAAAAGTCTATTTATGTTAAGCAGTAGACTTTTCAAATTCCTTCTTTTTAAATACGGGAAATAATCTTATCTATGTTAAAAACTAAATTATGGTTTAATACATTTCCTGGAGATAATCAATTTAATAGATTAGAAATTTATGCAGTGATTCATACATTATGACCAGCTAAATATAGCCCTTTATTTTAGAATCCATTCGCAAAAGTATTATCGCTTAAAGCATAGTTGATTATTATTAAGTCCGATGATAATTAAATGAATAATTTAGAATTGAGCTGGAAAATATGCCTAATTCTTACATACATATTCAAAGAATATGCAGATACAATTCATTCTACCTAAAAAAATTATCAAGATGCCAAATGTTTAGACAAGAAATAAATAAAATAAATTGCTTAGACCAAAATTAAAAATAAAAATAAATATGAAGACAAAGTTGTTGTGGCTTTTATTTTGGTGGCAGGTACCTTCCAATGTATAGAATTGTTCTGACCTCGTTTTTGCATAATGGTTAAGTTATCAAGGGGATTTAGTTGGACACCCTTGTCCGATGTCATCTGTCATAGTGGTTATCATAATTCACAGCATTGGACCTTAAACTTGGTACATTCCCAGACATGTTTTCGGTATCATAGTCAGCATTCTCAGTGCCAAAGATACAAGTCAATCGCTAAACCAACTTCCTTCCCTAAACGGTTATGCTATCACTCCTCTGTCTGTCCTGGCCCATCTATCTACTTCCTAACATTTTGTCTTACTCTCGCACTATCACAACTTCTGACTCGTTTATATTCATTCTCCAGAGGTGTGTTCTTTTTAGCGAGTTTAAAGTTGCATCATCACACCTTTCGTTTGCATTGTCCCCCCTCCAGCTTCGTTGTGCTGATCCGACTAAGGCCTCCTATCCCAACCTCTCTCATTGCACGTAAATATGTTTCTTATTTTTCTAGTTAAGCAATTTCACTCGGTTCCAGTCCCAATATGTGTTTTTTTACTCCAGGCGCAATTTCTCAAGTCTTGATTGGCACCTTACCTTCAGACCGCCTAGGCTCTGATCCCCATGCTTGTGGAAATTAGGCATTGCCTTCGTGCATCATCTCCATGTTTAAACCCGTGTACTCTGAGAAAACTGTACACATCTATTTCTGGTCGCCTATTGCATCTAGAGTGGATTTTTATTCAATTTGAACATAATGCCGACTTCCTGTAAAAGTTGGGATTATCTGCCTCCTTAGTTCTGTTACCGCCAAGCTCCTAAAGTTGTAGTTGTTTCTTCAAGCAGATTATACTTCCAGCAAACGTCTTCTCTTGATTTCATAAACTTCCTTACCCGCTTATTCCTTTTCTGCTGGTTAATGATAGATCCTTGATCCAGGCATCTCATTTTTGCTTTTCTTATTGTATCCTGTTTTCCGACATCTACCACTAAGCTTTCTTTTGTATACACCTCCTGCTAGTTAACATTCGTATAGAACTTTCTATATGACATTTTTTATAGGTCACCAATAGCTCTGAAAAGTTTCCTGAGACAGAAAGGGAAAAATATATGGAACTAATCCCCAGAATCTTGACACATCATGTACCAACACACATGAACTGATTTTCGAAGATACAAAAAACCCTATAAACGAGTGAACAATTACTCCTTCTGAGGGACAAAGGAGAAGCCACAGTGATACTCGATACAAAACAATATAGCAAAAAAACGAAATGTTTCCTAGTAGTCATAATCTTGTATCATGTACTAAAGAAGGACCCAAATCTGAATATAAATATAACTCTACGTGACATACTGAAATACAGGCATTGGAATGGAGATATCGATAAATGGACAATATATTCATTACTAAAAGTATACACTACCACCAATAGCCTTAGGATTACCGAGGATATAGAGAGAAGAGGAACCACTTAAGCTGATAATCAACAATAAGTATGGAGCAACACCCAAATTGTCTAAAACTTTACAAAGTAAACGACAGATTATCCAACACAATGAAGCATTACAATGAATTTAATCGAATGATCAAAGCATGAAACTGAAAGAAACAGGATTCTTGGTAAGTTTTGATGCACAGTCTACGTCCACAAGCATCTTAGAAAAAAGGAGATAACGGACCTGGTAGAAATTTTGGATCGAGATAAGAATATCTTAGAAGAAGAGAGTATCAGAAGAGAATCGTTAACATGATTAATAAACTTAACAATGAGGACTAACTACTTCATATTCAACGGCTACATCTAGGAACAGAACTTTGGACTTTCTATAGGATCGCCACTCCCATCTCTACTGGCAAATGTATAGATGAACAACTTAGAAGATAATCTCAAGGAATCTCTGCTGCAACCAAGATTGATCATGCTGTACCTAAATACTTTGCACTTTTGTCGCATGGAAGAGAAAAACTGGAGGGTTTCTTAAAGTTTATCAACCCTATTGATGAAAGAATCAAGTTCACAATGAAAGTAGAGAAGAAGGAACGCTTATCTTTCTCGGATCTTGAAGTAATTCACTCGAATAGGACATTTAAGAGAAAATTGTTCCGAAAGAAGCCATATATCGAAATAATACTAAATTTCGAGTCCCATCACAACTACGGACTGAAGATATGAATACTGAGCATAATCTTCGAAAGCTTTAAAATGATGGACGTAGAATTCAGAGGTTTAGAATTAGAAAAATTAATTTATTTATAGATAGAGAGGCCAGGAGAGAAAAAAGAGTGATAGCACAACGGTGTTGGCAGAAATTTGGCAAAGTGATTGACTTCACTTGTCTCTTTGACGAGTTGAGGGCTGGAAATTGAAATTTTATAAGAGTTCTTGTCGCATCAGGAATCCACGGACAGGGACAACATAAACAAGATATATAGATAATTGGGAAGAAACAAGCAAATAGTCCTATAAGCAAAAAAGAGAGGCCAATGTGGTGAAGAACAGAAAGAATATATATAGAGTAAATGAAAAATATTCTCGGGGACACTACAAAATATCGACTGCTAGCAAAATAAATAATAGTTAAAATCAGATAAGCACTGCAAAGCTTGCTGAATAAAATGAATAGGAACGGGAAATCGACAAATTGGCAATGAATTCACTCTTGGGAAAGGGTGCAAGAGCACAAGTAGCATACAGTTTGCCGAATTTACACAAAGAAAGAGAACAATTGAGACTTAGAGCCGACAGGAAAGAAGGATCAATACATAAACTTGCAAAATTTTTATCAGCATTATATTAAAGAAAGCGAACAAAATATTATCAAATAAAATTAAGAACTCATAAGAATTTTGCCCAAGTTTAAAAGGCACCACTTTGGAAAGAAACTAACTTCTAGGGAGCTTTGATGTACAGTTCATATACACAAAAATCTCAGGAGCAGTAGCACTCACGTCACTACTGGATATTTTGGAAATAGAAGATGACATCCTGGAGACAGAGCGAATCCAAAAAGTATATTTAAGCCGATTAATCAACCTGACAATAAGAACTACCTATTTCATTTTAAACAATCGCCTATGGACTCGTCACTCTCAGCATTGTTGACTAATATTTAAATACCTCTCATATTACTGATTTACTGGTAGTCTCGAAACTCTACTCAAATACGAAAATAAGTAATGTAGTCGATTGTGATAGCAAATATACGTTTACTTCATCGGTAATCCCACCAAAGAATATGATATGGCAAAAGGCCTAATCTCCCTTGAAATTCCCTTATTCCCTGTAAACCAAAGGCACTCGTGGCAATGTGGACAAGTGGTAAACGTGTCACGGTTCGACTCCCGCTGGGGGTGTTGATAGAACCGATTCGAGGTCGAAACTGCAGTCCACTCTGGATGAGAACAACTTTTGGGAAGGCAAGGCAATGAGAACTTGAATGGAAACGTCAGCCCTACTCATATCATTGTGGTAAAATTCTACTATCAGTCCTTCATCACCTTAAACGAAATTTGGTGAATACCTCTCATATTACTGATTTACTGGTAGTATCGAAACTCTACTCAAATACGAAAATAATATTTAAATGAACAAGTTGGAGGAGAATTTCAACGCGTCGACTTAGCATATCACAGTAATTATGCGATATTTAGATGACTACTTCGAACTCTGGTCGCATGAAAAAGAAAAATTAGACGATTTCTTGATAATCTTAAACCAGAAGGATGAAGAATCCAAATTTGCAATAGATGTGGAAGGGACCGGAGATTTACGGTTCTTTGATGTGGAGGCCATTCGTTCAGAGGAGACTCGTAAGAAACAACTATTCCTAAAAAAGCGCAAGCAGGAATACCCCCTTAACTTCTAGTCTAACCATACTTATGGAATGAAGATCTGACTACTCAGGAGTATGGTCATAGAAGTCTACAGATTGCCGATTCTAGGTTCTGGGAAGAGGAACTTGAAAAACGAACTGGGTTGTTTTTTAGAAATGGGTATCCAGAAAAAGCTGAAAGGAAAGCAACGGAAATATATAAAAACGGTGGATATGTCTATTCTCCCGCGAATCGGCTTGGAGGCTGCGGCCGATACTATTGAAATGGAAAATTCACGGAATCCTGAAGCAAAGGGCAATCCTATTCTAAAACTTGCCTACACAACATAACTTAGTCAACGAAATTGACTGCTTCGGAGTTTATATCATAAACTACAAGGACTGTAAGCAGAAAATATTTCTGAAAGACGGGAAGAACAATTAGCAGAAAGATCAAAGAACTCCAACAATTATGCAGATAAATGGATACAGAAAGATTGTAGTTAATTGAATACGGCTACATAATTGACTGGAGTGCAATTGGAAGACAGGCCTGATATGAGGAAAATACCAGAAAACGGAAGATAAGAGAGTCTATGGACATACTTTTTTAAAGAAATCTGATAAACATGAAATTGAAAGAGGGAAGAGTCAATGATATTTTTGCACATTTGGAGATTAAAGGAGGAGAATAAATTGAAGATGCCTTGACCAAGGACAACTATTAAATAACAGGCAAGGACATCGCCGAGGAGATGATTCTGAGAGACAAAGGGTAGTAATTAAAAGGCGATTGCAGTGAGAGGAATCAAAGCTTTAATCGGCAAATCAATTTGCCCGAGGGGATCCACTTGTGGAATGTGGGATAGGAAATTAAATGCTAAAGGTATACGTGGGCTAGATATAGGTCACCAGTGTGTGTGTGTATTTGTCGGCATTTTGAATGTGATGCCTTAATGAGAGGTAACTTGTGACATGTCTGACCACGGGGGATAACAACCAACCCACGCATGAAAAACGTCATTGTACTGTAGGATTAGATGGGAGTGTCAACTTGAAGGACGAGAGGAGTATGCTTTTAACGATTCAGGAGAGGAAAATGGAAGCGGTGCATTATAACCTCAGCAATTATGAATTAAGCCGAATATAGGATCCCAAAGGATGTGATACAATGTGGATAGATATGAGAAAGAGGATAACTGAGGAATGGGTTTGAAGCATATGAAGAGAGAGTTTCACAGTCATTTAAATGGGCATGTTAATGACCTGCTCTAACTCCCAGAATATTAGAAAGAGGATTGAATTTTGCTTTTCCAAATCAGGTAAACCATTCTCTGGAAATACTTATTAAATTAATTAGCCTATCTAATATATTACCTGAATATGTAAGGAATAGTATTGAACTACATGTGATCCTTCATTTTGACCATATTATACCGCCTACGAAAGATTGTCATATCAGTAGGATTTCTAGATTTATATGTACTAACAATATAATCATAACGAAAGCCGACAATGGTGGAGCAATGGTAGTCATGGATAAATCAAGTTATGTAGAAAAGTTGCTAGTTCATTTGAATGACAATGACACGTATATACCTTAATTGAAAGAACCAACCGAAAGACTTAGGACTAGGTTAAAAGATGCCCTTAAGGTATGCGTAAGTAATAATGAAATGGAAAAGTGGAAAATGAATTAATTGCTTCGAAGAAAACGGTCTCCACGTGGTTCATAAAGAGGGTGTTCCTTTAAGATTAATTGTAAATAATAAAGTAAGCGTGATGCATAAAATCTCACGGTTTTTATGCATACAACTAAGAAACTCTGCCAATTATTGGCTATATTTAGCTAAAAATTCGTATGATTTTGTGAAATTGCTAGATCACCAGACAATTTCAGAAGAGGATAAGCTAGTTAGTTTTGACGTTGTGTCTATGTACACGAACATTCCTCTCCAAGGAGCTATTCAAGCTCTGATACAAACTCTGGACGAACATCCAGAGATAACACTAGGAATTAGGTTAGGTGTAGCTTCCATTATTAGACTTATTAACCTATGCATGAGTACTACATATTTTAACTTTGATGGTAAATTATACGATCAAATGCAAGGATTGGCGATGGGATCTTGTCTGTCTCCCATCTTAGCAAACAATTATATGGCTTCCTACAAGAGGCAATATTAACACCTAAATTGTTGGTTAGACACATGGATGAATATTTTCTCATCTGGCCTCATGGTAAGGAATATTTAGATATTTTTTCATTTTCCCTCAACCAACGTAAAAGGAACATTAGATTCACGATGGAAATGGAAGAAAATATGTCTTTACCTTTTCTGGACGCTCTCATTATTAAAGAAGAGGGTAGGTTAGGAAGAGATGTTTATAGAAAGCCAACATATGTTGGCTCTTTGCTTAATTTTCTTTACAACCATATTTACAAGACTATAGTTGGAATTTTGAAGTCAATGATTCTTAGAAGTATGAAGCTAGCGAAGAGCAAACATTTGACTAAAGATTTGGAACGGCTGACAAATATATTCCTGGAAAATAATTATCCTTTAGGCCTTATTGAAAATAAAATCTCTTCACTACATAATAAATTTTTAGAAATAGACCATTTAGTCTAAGAGAGACAGACTGAGACCTTTTCCCATGTCCTAATAACACCGTCATTCTTTCTCTCAAAAAAGATTGGCAAACTAGTCAAGAAGTGGGGCATAAAAACAGTATTCAAACGAACCCTCAAACTTTCTTCTGTTATACCATCATTTAGAGAGAAATATGACCCATTATCAAGATCCGGCTGCTACAGGATTATTTGCTCATGTGTTCGATGTTATATTAGCGAGACATGCCGACCTATTCGACAAAGATTG